AGGTCATTGGCGGTAACAGATGTAACAAAAGGAATTTCCAAGGCATATCTCAAAGCTCTCAAGCCCGATGCTGATAAGGCGTCAAGGATCTTGAATGAAGGCTTGTATGTGTGGCCATTTTCCGCCTTTTCTTTCTCTAGTTGCTGCTGCTCCGTGGCTTGTGTGGTTGCTTCTTCGTTGTCTTGTTCTATCTCATCTCGCTTTCGCTTCTTGCCTTGTTTTACATTTTTTGAGTTGAAAGCTTCAACTCGCTTTTCCAATAGCATCTCCCCATACACCTTGACTACCAGCGTCGACAAGTCGCGATTGTACTGCTGTATTGGATTGTAGAAGACTTGCTGTTCCTCAGTCGTGTCTTGGCCGGCTTTCGTTTCATGGGGAACCAGAATCGTAGCTTTTCCCTCTGTAATGGTCTTGAACTGCTTACCGTCCCGCTCAATGATCTGCACTGGGGGCGCTTCTTCCGCCATCATTCGTGAGGTCGACGATATTGTCCTGGAAAGCAACGGTGGAAGCAGGTGACACGATCGTGTGAGCGTTGTGCGATAGGCAGATGTAGGCGCCCCCAGTCTATGGCTGATATTGGCGCGAAAGATAAAACCGAGACGCCGCATGCAAGCAGGCTGTTTGAATTGGGCGACCAGCAGCAAATATTGGGCAGAATCACTGGTTGAAGCTATTCTCAGCCACTATGACCAAATTTTTGGAATTCTGCCGTTGTCAGAAACTGAGCGGTGAGAAGAAACTTTTGAGCTTCTCTGCCTGTCACCCCCACTAGCTGTTCGTTCCAGAATCCAGACGCACCCCCCCACCTGCAGCCAAGGACGCTAACATCCCATTTGATCCTGCAAAGTTGTTCACTTCATCAATGTCTTGCGAGTGTACTCCGTACAGGCTACTATATCGCGTTTTCATACCCATACAGCGAGCCACTTCCTCGCATCTGTTCATGGTTAAATAGACTTTGATGCCTGAATTTGCAATAGAATCAGCCTAGCCATGGCCGCCTCTTGCGCGATCCTGACTCCTGAGGCAGCGCTCAATGCTACAGACCGCACCTTCCCACATTCGAATACCATTCGAATTCAATGGCTTTCAGGAAGGCACGAAGTCGGCTATCTGGGAAGGAGGGCACTGGGCTCATTGGGTTTTATTTTACGCCCGTACTCGAGTATAAACTGATCAGTCGTCTCGAGTTTGAATCCCAACATCAGCAGTCCATTCGTTCCATATTCCAGGTCTCGGAATATTGTTATCCTATAGTGTCATCTTTATGTCCCTGTATTCAAGATACCCATTGTGGCATTCACCCTAGACGATTACACCAGCAAAATGGCCAGCAAAGTCAAACCTGGCGTCACGTCCACGGGCATCATCCCTGTTATTCCTCCAATTCCCCTTTCTGTTCCAGCTCAAGGTAGTAGAGGTAGTAATCCTCGTAAGGATCCTTCCGAGGGCAAAAACAGAGAGAGCGTACCAACAAAGCTCGATCCTTCTCTCCCCATTACTCACGACCCAAACGCTCATCAAAAGATTGTTCGTCACCGGTTTCTTTCCTCCGCAGAGTGGACAGTCATTGCCAACGGCATTGGCGGACTAAAAGATGGCGAAAGCCACCAGCCGACCCATCCTGCACATGGGCTATGGCCACCACTTGGCATGCCTCGAGGGCTGTATCGCGAGGTTGTTGCGCACAAATATCGGTTTTATTTCCTATTCCACTTCACCAGTGTTCTCCGATGGATGCTCATGGTCGTTCAGCTTCTGATTGGGGCGGCCCTGACGGCTCTGGGTGCCATGTCCCTGGCAAATGGAACGCCCATCACAATTCTCGCCGCTGTCAACACTGCGATGGCTGGGTTTCTTGCACTTCTGCACAACAGTGGTCTTCCAGATCGATATCGGAACGACATGGCAGAGTTTGAAGAAATCGAAGATCACATCAAGGAAGTATTAAACTCAAGCATCGTTCCCGCCGGTCAGACTGCTGAACAAGTTCTTGCTGAATTCTTTGACCGGTACCGTGAAGCCAAATCGACAGTTGCAGTGAACATGCCCGCGAATTATGCCTCAAAACAAATGCTTTCGCCCGAAAAGCAGATCAACAAGGGAAGCTTTAATCCAGGACCGGGAACGGGACCAGTTCCAGCGAATAGAAACGCCAAAGGGTCCTATGCTAATGTCCACTCTGGCACGGATAACGGCGCCCAGGCATAATTTTTTATCAAGATTGGCGTAAGTTTGCCACGTCTTTCCAATGTTCCTTTCGTCACATCCCTGCAAGGCGATAAGCACTAACGGCATCGAAAAGACCATCAAACCATCTCTCTTCTCCGACGTCGAGTTTGCTGTTGTATTTGCTGGGTGAATGGTGATCCCTTTGCACCAGATCGCCGTGTAATCCCATAAGGTTGATAGATTGCCTCGATGATAATACCCGTACGGCGCATGAAAAAGCCAGCGAAAACGAGGTAGTCAGCCAAGACGGAGGGACACGACTTTGCGGCATAATCTTAATCCTCTTTTGTACTCCGCCCATGCCCGTGTACTCTGTCGCAAGGGTATCCACGGCGGGACTGTTAATCTGTTTATTAAAAAAATTCTGCGACACAATTTGCATGAGAAAAGCGGCATGGCGAGGGATTTGCAGACACAGTGGCTGATTCCGCCCATTGTTGGCAGGAGTTCGACTGATCTGCCTTCTCCCGTGACCAGGGGTTTGTCAAGAACCAGCAAGGATCTGCCTCAACCAGTCCTCGTCCCACACCCACATGCTATCCACCTAGGTACCTGGTCGGTTTCATGTATTTGGTTTGCTGTTTGTCTGGCCACAGTTGGCTCATCCGTCCACGACAAGGTGTACAAGCTGTACTTTGTAACTTACTTGGAGAGGAATGAAGGAGGAGGGCCCTCGCTCATCAATTTCAAACTTGTCTGTTTAAAAGGGATAGCTAATCCCGCATGCACCAGCCATCTATCTATCTCTCCTACTAGCTACTACTAGTTGTAGTCAAAAAACCAGCGTTGCGTTGTTCAACAGAGCACGCCCAGGCCAGTCTGTTCCCGCGGCCTCATGTCATGACGAGCTGTTTGTGGCCTTGTTCCCGTCACTATGTATTTGATTCAGTCATAGGTTCCTTTTCTTCCTTCGGCTTCATCTGAGTTTGCAGCTCGGCGCTGCTTTTTTCTGGAACCACCATGTTGCTTTCCAAAGGCATGCCGGTGCTCCAGGTGAGACTTAGCTACCTTATATTGACTGCAGTAACTGTTGGTTTCCTATTTCATGCCACGACACTTCATCAACAAGGGCAGACCTTTACGGTTGATCTGCCGGACTCGACCCCAGTTGGGGATATTTTGCCAGAGGAAAAATACTTGGAGAGGCTCATTGACCGCTATGTACTTACCAACTTGACGAAATGGCAAGCTTGGAGAGTGCAAACCTCTGACAAGCCTTTGACCATTGGTTCAGTTACCGATGTACACACGGACTTTCAGCCACACCGGGATGCTCCGAAAGTCATCGATGTCAGCAACCCTAGCCCTACCGATTTGCACGCGTCGAAGGGGTTGGAGCTTGCAACTTATACCGACGAGGCACATGATAGACTATACGCATCAACGCTCATGTTCGGCGTATCCACTACGTATAAACGAATCGTTGAAAAAGATTGGGCTGTCCTACGAGCATGGAAACGTTGGTTGACCAAAGGCGACGGAACCAGCAACGGCGCCACTCTAGTTCTCATGCTTGACAATGCCACTGAGGAACAACTTGATGAGATAGACAAGGAGCTTGAGGAAAGGGGTATTGATGTGTACACAACTTCCACCTCTGGGGCCACATCTAAAAGCCGAAGATATTACGAATTGATTCGGGTCATGAAATCATATGGTGCCACCATCGCCGCAAGTGGCCAAGAGAAGCATTGGTTCGCAGTCATAGAGGACACTGTCTTTTTCCCGAGCCTATCCTACCTCAAGGAACGACTTTCAACTTTCGATTTCAGCAAGCAGTTGTATCTCGGTATCCCTAGTGAAAAGATGGTCTGGCATCAAGACGGCGGATCTGGCACAACATACGGTGGAGGCGCGATATTCTTGACCAAGGACGCTGTATCTTTGATTCCCAAGCTACCTTGCTTGAGAATCGGCGCAGCCGCTAAGCCTTCCTTCCATGGACAGAGATGGGATGCGATGCTGAGGCGGTGTCTTGAGAAGCAGGCAGGCGTTGACATGCATGTCATTCCAGCACTCCACCCACCGCATGATAGTCATGAAGCCCGTGTCGAGAGCCACGAAACTGGCACACGACCGCTTTTGCTACACGACTATGCATACCCACACCACCTCGATGTGGGCATGGCACACTTGGTGACTGACGCGTGTGGTGAGGCATGCTTCATGCACCAATATTTATTCCACGACAACTGGGTCATCACCAACGGCGTGTCGATAAGCCACCACCCTGATGGACTCGGTCATCGCCACCGCCACAAGGCCTTGGTGAAAGAAATGTTTAAAGATACCCAGAAGACTCCTGTTTCCGATCAAATAGTCATTGACGAAGACGAGGTTGAGAGAAGGACATTGAACTTGACAGGGCAGCGGAGAGACATATGGGGACTATTGGATTCAGTAAAGGCTTCCGACGGAACAGTATGGCAAGCTTATATGAAGAAGGGAGAGCGGTCCACGAAGGCGGACAAGGAAGAGTCGGACGGACTCAGGGAACTTGATTCCGTTATTGTCTTGATTTGGGAAAAGAAACAGCGTTAGCTACTTGTTTGGTTACCACTGGCGTTTTGGACAGGAGTTGGTAGCAGCTGGCCTGAGAATGGTTTTTTTTTTTCCTTTTTCGAATTGTTCTTGAGAGATTACGAGGGTCCAGGCCATCTGCTGTATACACCATATACCAATTACAACATCTTCTTGTTCTTCTTAATGTGGTTCCCCTCCGTAGTACATCTCGCCGGCGGCATCACCAAACCCATGGTCCCTCAGCACTCCTGGTCCTCGGCCAAGGCCAGCATGGACGTGTTGGTAGCCGTGGCGATGACGGCGTAAAGGCCCAGTCCATGACCTCGACCGCATACCCATCGATTGCCCCGGTACGCCTCGTCAACGACGACTCCGGCGTCGCCGCCGCGGACTTTGCCGGCATCCCTCCCCCAGCAGCTCAATGACCCTGTCAGCGTGCTCGCTTGTGAACACCCAGCAGTGAGCACCATGGTCACCATCCCCGGCCCGCTGGCGACCAGCACCGCACCGCACCATCATCAGGTCCATCAGGCACGGCCGCGGAGTCTCGCTGCGGCGGCAATCAGCTCCTCTGACCGCGACACGGAAGGCGGTCAAAATGGCCGTAGTGCCTAGGCGCATCGCGCGGCTCGATGGTGCGCAGTGCAAGGGGCAGCGTCCGCGACTCGATGCGCTCGTAGAGGTGCTGCGCCTGCATTGTTTCAGAAGGCTCTCGTATGTATATACATACATACATAGGCTTCTCTGCGGGATCTGGACGCTCGTCTTGCGGCCGGGACGCAGGGATGTTTCTTGCGTCCGTGTCGGGTCTCGGGTGGGATGTTCCCATTGACCGAGCGCTTTAAAAATAAAAATACTCCGTAGAGCGAAGGGGGAGCTTTGTTGGCGATTTGTGTCAGAATTCATGCGCTAACACGAGTCTACAATTCTCCGTTGGTTTCAGACGGAGGGTGGGGGATGCGCAGGCCTGCTCGGTAAGCGGGATATTGGGATATAACTGGGGTGCCGGCATGGAAGTCGGGGTACTCCGTAGTAGGGACAGGATTTTCCCTTCTGTTCTTTTCAATCCCCATTATCATATGGCGTGAGCGGCATTGCGTCTGTGTTTCAAGTGTACATGTGCTCCGTATGGTGACGCGGACGCTGTTGAAGTAACTGCCTGAATAGGCAATAGCCACGACGGCTCTGCGTCTGATTGGCTGGTTTGTGAGTCGCAGAGTCGGCTGTGTGCAAGTCATTTGCGCATGAATGATTGTCATGTACAACGGAGGCTAGCTGGAAGATGGGGCGTCGATGGACGGATTTTTGCAGACTTTCTTGAGTCTGTAAAAGATGTCATTCGGAATTCCGACAACGAAGGCCCGTGTGTGGTGCGGGATGGGCTTGATGCTGAGCGGACGACAAGACATGCCATGGCTGGCCTTGATCATGAAATAATGAATTAATATTACAAAGTCTTTTTCTAAAGCGTGATCAGATAATTACGGCCCCTTTTACTCGTCACGCGACAACCTCGGAATCAAAATACCCCCGTCCGCGCTTTAAACACTTGCCATCACGATCACCATCACCACCCTCCCTCCAAGTAAACAGCCACATAATCAACCTCCATGCTTGCGCCGTCGCCATCAAGAGTGTCGTACGTGGGCGTCGTGATGCCCGAGACACCGTTGGGAAACCCGCCGCCAACAGCAACATTCAACAGGATCATCTTGCTATTCGCGGCCATGGCGTGCCACGCACCGGCATCACGCACATCGTCCTCCCACAGCGTCCACTGCAGACCCTCATCCACGTACCAGCTCATCGACTCCTCGCCGTCGCCCGACCGGTCCACCTCCCACGCAATCGTGTGCCAGACCCCGCGCTCAAAAGGCTCGGTAACGTGGCCAAGGCCATTGGGCTCGTTGCACACGCCGCCCGGGTTCGTGCCGCAGTGGGCGACGTGCCAGATCTTGCGGAGGCCGTTGACGCTCTCGAGAATGTCAATCTCCCCCACGGCCGGCCAGTTCTGGTAGTTGCCGCGGTACTCGGAGCCCAGGGTCCAGAACGCGGGCCAGATGCCGAGCGACCTGCCCTCGGGGTTGTCGCCCAGCTTGATCCGGGCCTCGACGCGGAGGCGCTCGCCGCGCGCGCAGGCAAAGTCCCAGTCGGCTGTGGTCTCGATGCGCGACGAGGTCCACGAGTTGCCGTGGCCGCGGACGGGCGTAATCTTGAGCGTGCCGTCGGCCGTGATGCGGATGTTCTGCCAGTCGTCCGTGTACGTCTCGATCTCGCCGGTGCCCCATTGCGCGGGCCCCCCGTCGTACCGCGTGCCCAGGTCGATGGTCCATCTCGACGCGTCGGGCAGCGAGTCCTCGTCCCCGGTGAAGTCGTCGTAGAAGATGCAGTTCGAGAATCCCGCGGGGGTGTTGTGGGCGGCTTTGGCAACACGGCCGTGTGGCGCCTGGCCCGCGCTCAAGGCGAGCTGTGCGAATATCGCCATGATAGAAGCGGCGTGGCCCAACATGACGACCAATGTGTGTGAAGAAGCGTGGAAAAGAGCGACTAGGTGAGCGCGTGTGCAAATTCAAACAAAGAGGCGTTGATGGCGGAATACATCAAGGCCAGCGGCCAGGTGTTCAAATACTTTTGTAGTTGCGCCATGGGAGACTTTGGAATGCGAGGTTCAAGCCCTTGACAATCAAGTATTCCAACAACACCAACAACATCGCCGATATGCGTCCATTCCGTCTGGCCCCCTTTCATCACCATGCCGTCCAACCTTATTTCCATCCAAGTATAGCCAGCCGAGACTCTGATTGGCCACAAGGGCTCCGAATTGGCCAAAAACATGGCGCCCGGGCGGTATGGGCTTGTCTTGTCTTGCTGGCTCGCTGTCAAGCTTGTTCCCGTCCGCACATGGGATGTACTAGTAGTAGTAGACTGGCAATGGTCCGTCTGATTGGTCCGCTGGTAGTCCGTTGATGATATTAGTGCGAGACATGGCGGGAGACGACGATGCGCCTTGCATGTCCGTTCGAGGATTGGCGTGTCTGAGGTGCTGAAATGTCATGTGCAAGCCTTCAATGTCGGACGCTGTTGCTGTGACACCTGCAACCAGACGCAATTGTGTTGATTCACCTGCGAACGCGAATTCAGCCTCGTACGCGTGACTCTGTACAACCGCATCCACAAGTCTCCCCTGTTGCCAAAGAGACAAATCTCTCGTGGGACTCTCATGCGTAATTTTGGCTTGTACGACATGCAGAGAGGAGCCTCTCGAGTCTCTGGTCAAGATTGCTCCGCCATGTCGTGATCCGGGTGAATCAGCTTTCCGAGACACAGTTCAACAAAAGAGTACGTGCTTCGTAGTAGTATTGCAATCGGTGGGGGACGGCTCACCTGAGTAATATCCCCGGTATCGAATACAAACTGCCTATGTTGAATTAGAGCCCCATTGTGCCGACGAGGTCCATCATCTCTCGAAATCCTAGCCACGATGGATGCGACGCAGGGATATCAACAGATTGCCAGGTGAATTCTCCGGCGTGAACAAGCATAAGCACAATGGCAAACAGCAAAAGTCAAATGACATATTTCATATTCTTACATCAACATCATGTACAACATATTTCCTATGAACCCATCTTCTCTGGTTCCGGAGAGCTCCTTCCAGACTTTTGTCCCGCACTGCGCAAAACCCGTCCGCTGCCTTCGGTAGAAGAGCCCTCAGTGGAAATGGTGGCCTCCTTTGTCAGGGGTGACGGTGCTTCTGGCGTGACTGAACGGGAATCCGTTCCGGACCGTTTCGACTTGGACATGGAAATAGACGACTGCTTCTTCCGGCGCTTTTCTGACGCAGAGCTGGGACGGCGGCCGAGTTGGCCATCGTCCAAGTCCAATGTGGGTGTTTGACTTCGGGACGAGCTTGTTGACGGACGGCGTACGCTGCCGCCGCGATTCCTTCGCACTTTCTCGCTGCTGGAGTGGCGGGGGGGGGGGCAGAGTCTTGTGTGACTGAGGTTTGCGCTGGGGAGTTTGCCTCCATGGCAGCCACCACAACCAACCGTATGCCTGCTTGGCCATGCTGCGATCATGTCCCTTGACCTTTTTCCGTAACAGTGCGCGTCGCTCGTTTTCCCTCTCCCAATATTCGGTGCGATACAGTTCCCAGTTTTCTCGAAAGGTCGGTGAGAATGGCTTGGGTAGTAGGAGAAGCTTGACGTAGTCACCTCCGGGGGCCAGGTCCTCCTCATGCCCACCTTTTTCCTCGTCGTCGTGTGGAAGCACCAGCATTGGATGGCCCTCGGCAGACAGCTGGAGCTCCCTTTCCGTCTCCCGCAACAGCCAAGGCTCGACATGGCGGTATGACGAGCTTGCCGTGTGCGAAAACAGGCCATACGTCAGGAAGAAACCAATTGTCGACAGAGCCTCGGCCCACCACGGACGGCGTATGATGACAAGCTTGCAGTTGAAGCCACGCAGGCCCCTGTTTGATATTGCGAACCACCGGCGCGGCCAACGGATGCCGCGGTCCCAGATGCCGGTTCCCCAGACCAAAATAGCCGTGATGATGCCGCCCATAAAGCACACCTTCTGAGCACCTTCCAATGCCCAATAGATGGAGCCTCCGACGCCGCGGCCGTCCTCGCGAGGGGCAAAGTACAGCTTGTAGCCAAAGAAGGCGACCCACAGCGTCAGCAGCATCAGGAAGAACGTATGGTGGCGTCTTCTAGCCCGAAGTTCGAGGAATTGGGCTCGCAGGGAAGCCTCGAGAATGAGGAGGTTCAGGTAGACCATGGACGGAGAGCTCGGCGCGTGGTTGAGAGGGTCGCCCTGCTTGCCACCGGCGGGTGCGATGGGGGTCGGGCCGGATGTGGTCTTGATGTTTGCCGCACTGACGGGGGCGCCCTTGACAATGGAATCGATGTCGTCGGCCATGGTTGCGGCGGTTGCGGCAGTCGAGGCAGCACGTCAGCGCGGGAGAGAGCGTGGCTGTGGGAGGAATTGACGATGATTGAGGCTGGATCGCAGCCGATCAGCTGAGGCGATGTGCCATGCGGTCGCAGGGAGATGGGTGTCAACGAGAGGCACGAAATGACCAAGCTTGTGCTGCAGGGCGACGAGGAGGGATGTAGTCGAGTCGATGTGGGATGCAAATGTTGAGGATGGAGCCAGCTGACAGCCCGCACCGAGTATGTGGTGCTCTCGGTTAGTGCAGTCTGGTTAGCGCCGATACGGATCTGCCTTCAACGTTGAATGTTGACAGAGTACTCCGTACACCGCCCGCGCATGTGCAGCAGGTACGCAGGTACACAGGTACGTACCAACCTTGAATGTAGTACTAGTACTCCGTACTATCGCCGCATCGCCAATTGCACCTCCAAGTGCCGCCCACGTTGAAATGGGTTGAAATGGTCGGCACCGTTGTCACTTGAAGGCGTTCAAGCATTTGTCTCGCCAACAAAAAAAACCCAAGCACCCAATCCGTTGTCGTTGCCACCAACTCCGCAGGCAGCCTACGGACTTTTAGTCATACGCAGTAACTACGTAAGTACCTAAGTAGCATCTCAGCCGCAGCCACCACCAGACCGCAAAAATCGGAACAGTCCGCCCGCTAGTGCCCCGGCCGCCTCATCAGGTTTGATGTCATCGGTGTCCGGACTGACCCAAAATCCGAACGCCAAACGCTCAAGCCTGTTAACTCCGCCATTACAAGCGCAAACCGCGTGCCGCACTATCCATCCCCAGGATTGAGCCTTGCACAAGGGGGAAATCCTATTTTCGTCACTTGAAAGGGTGCCTGGGGGCCTTCTTGGATTAAAACCATCCGCCTGCCCCCCCACGCCCAGACCCCAGACGCTCCGGGCAATGCAAGCACTTCTTCGACATCCACACGCTGCCACTGCAGCATTGCAACCTTCACGACTCGCCCTCGCTTCTTCTGCTTCATTTCCATTTTCATCCTCGTCTTTCGACTCTTCCTCGGCATCTGTGTCACACCCGTCTTTCAAAATGTCCAACGTCGAGGTTCCCGACAACCTGAAGCAGCAGAAGCCTGCGCGGGGAGGCCCGCCATCTGTGTACTTTCCTCTGGGTTACAAAGACGCCGCATATCAATGGGTGAGTCTTCTTTGTGCCCGCGCATAGTGACATGCTCGGCTGATCACTGATCATTTTGCGCAGTGGACAAGTGTCACACCTACAATGGCAGAGCGCAACGTCCTCTCTCTTGTTCCTTACCTCAAAGAAGCCGTCGACAGCATCACTTCGACCCCAGCCTCAACCACGGGTACGCCCGATCCCTATGGGACCAGAACATGGCGCCGCTCACTCGTCCAACTCTCCGGCAAGAACCGTGCCCTCAACGAAATCTGTATCGAGCGACAAGGCGAACAAGTCCAAGAGACGCTCGTCATGGTCCACGGATACGGCGCCGGCCTTGGCTTCTTCTACAAGAACTTTGAGCCCATCACCCGCACCCCAGGCCTCAAGCTCTACGCCCTCGACATGCTGGGCATGGGCAACTCGTCAAGACCGCCCTTCAAGATCCACGCCAAGGACAAGGAGGAAAAGGTCAAAGAAGCAGAGAACTGGTTCATCGATGCGCTCGAAGAGTGGCGCCAAGCCCGCAAGATCGAACGCTTCACTCTTCTCGGCCACTCGCTGGGCGGCTACCTCGCCGTTTCCTATGCAATCAAGTACCCGGGACACTTGAAGAAGCTCATCCTCGCATCTCCCGTCGGCATTCCCGAGGACCCATACGCCGTCAACGCCAACCTCCCCGAACCCGAGGAATCAACTCTCCAAAACGAATTCACCCAGGACCAGCAATCCATCACCGAAGGCCGCGGGACGCCCCCCACTCCTCCCAACGGACAGGCAGCAAACGCCCCCAAGCGCCCTCTGCCAAACTGGCTCGTCTGGCTCTGGGACGCCAACATCTCCCCCTTCAGCATCGTCCGCATGGCCGGCCCATTTGGCCCCCGCTTCGTGTCGGGCTGGAGCTCCCGCCGCTTCAACCACCTCCCTCCCGAGGAAGCCCAAGCCCTCCACGACTATTCCTTCTCCATATTCAAGCAAAAGGGCAGCGGCGAGTACGCACTAGCCTACATCCTCGCCCCCGGCGCATACGCCCGCCGCCCCGTCATCAACCGCATCCACCAGGTCGGCCGCCAGCCCATCCCCCAGGCGGACGGCAGCACCGGGGCCCTCAAGGAGACCGGCATCCCCATCGTCTTCATGTACGGCGAAAACGACTGGATGGACGTGGCAGGGGGCCTGGCAGCAGAGGAGAAGCTGAAGGAGGCCAAGGTCCGCGCCCTTCTCCACGGAACAGACGACGAGAAGCGCAACGAGAACGGGAGCGTAAAAGTCGTCATCATTCCCAAGGCTGGCCATCATTTGTATCTTGATAATCCCGACGATTTCAATCGTCTGTTAACAGAGGAGATTGAGGAGACCAGGGCTGCTGGGAAGAAGCGGCCCGTGCTATAGACAAGATGGGAATAGCGACTGGGATAGGCATCGTCTGGGGGGAGCTTGATACGGAATGATAAATTCTCGAGTTCTTTTCTGGAGTATAGACTCATTGGGATTGTCGGCATTAGCATGGCGTTTGGGTAAATTTACATAATATAGACTAGACATTACATCACCTAACAAATACACATAAATCGACATGAACACATCATCCCTTTTTTTTCAAACCCGAGTTTCACTTGCGACAACAGTTTCTTTCATATAATTTTTTCAATTTGTGTGCGGGTATCCAATATACTAGGATTCAGGATATGTGGGCAAATCCCCTCTGGTACAGACAAAAATGTGCACGCTATGCAATGTATGGTATACAAACAAACCGCCCATGTCCCCTTTCTTCCCTTTTTTTTTTATTCCCCCAAAGATGTTTTACCCTTCACCCCTTCGGAGTAATGAGTCGTTCCCGGTACTGGTTCAAGGCCGCCAGGGCGTCTCTTCAGACCATGTCACCCTCCGCGCTCTGCGCTCGCATTACAAGGTTATAAGATCGACTTCTGAGAAGTCGGGGGGATTCTTCCCGAACACAACACGTACTTTACTGTCAAGCGCTGTTCCTTCATTACTGATCCAAATATGCTTGCTGAAAGCGTTTGTGCGCCGAATTTCGTCGTCGCTCACCCCCAAGTCATCTCGTGGTATCCAGAGTGTAGGTCTTCGAGCTCGCAGAGCATAGTGTAAAAATGCATGTCGCGTCAACGCATCTCTTTCTTCCGGAGTCAAATCCTCAATGTCATCTGGGATGCCACCGTAGAGAGCATCACCCATGGTGAGCTGTGCGTCGAGATCCTTCTTACGTTGGCTTCGGCGATATTGTGCAGCCCGAGTGTTGTCCGTCAAGTTCTTCAGCTTGCGAAGCTGATTGCCACCACCCATGGCCCATGTGCCGACCTGTTTGCCTCCGGCTCTAGCCCAAGTCCCAACTTGTTTGACGGGTCTGAAACGCTTATTCAAGCCATCTGTCTGACCTGCGTCCAAATTCTGGAGCTCAATATTCTCGTCGGTGTCCGGGACCTGGGTTACTTTCTCTCCGAGATTAGCCCGCCCCCCTTCTTCATCTTCCTGTAGCAATCCAAAACGAACATCTTGAGCTCGTTGAAAGGCTTCATCTCGAATTACAGCGTCGTCCTCAAGCGTAAGTGGAAGATATCGGAATAGAGGCGAGAAAGACTTATTGAGCGCAACTTGATACACTAATGTGAGAATGAAGACGACAATCATAATAACGCCATGCGGTGTGCATACGTTGCGGCGTTTTTCGTCCGTAACAATAAAAAACAATCCAGCCAGGCAGAGTTCCATAAAGTATATACCAGTAAATGTTTGGTTGATTGCTCGAGGATATAGGACTCCGCCAGTGTCAGTGCCCGATCGGTTGACATAGAGCATGGCATATCTCTGAGCCAGCCAGAGCAGACCGAACGTTATGACTGCAAAGATGGAGATGAGAGGCGCAATAATACAGTATATCAACCCAATGCAGGCGAAGTTGGTATACACGGGGAAGAAAGAACCCCAGTTGACCTGGTTGAGCGAGGTATTCCGTGCCCACTTCTGTCTGGCAGTGCTGTCCCTCATCGGCGCCATGATATACCACATGAACAAAGTCATGACTTGCAACAAGGTGCCGGAACTCGTAGACAGAGCCTGGAGAACCATGTAAGAAAAGAAGTAAATGGCAGCGGATGGCAAATTCTGGGCCAGGAGATTAAGGACGGCGTCAACACTGGACAGCTCCTTGACACTGTTGACAATCTCGCCAAGCGACCTGAAAAAGAACGACGCAATCGAAACGACGAGGAAGACTTGTACGAAGAGGAAAGCAAAGTAGTACATCTGTACGAACTCTGTCTTCTGTGACCCTGTCTTTGCACCCTTCAAGCCTGCCAAGAAACCGAAAATTAACACAGCCAAGAGGAGTAAAATCGATAAGACAGTAGCGGGCAAGACACCAGCAATTGCTTTGATGAGAGTTCCCAGTTTTTTATTCCGTTCAAGGTTTGATAGCCATCCGTTAGGTGTAATGAAAGCATCGACTTGACCTATGGCAGCAGTCCAGGCCACAAGAATGGCCCATAATACAAACATAGCGACAACGATTATCACAACTATGATTGAACGAACCCACTGCTGCCACCAGTTGATTGCCATGTTCTCCCAGACAACGTCGCGAGGCGAAATCTCAATGGCTCGTGGTGACATGTGCTTTGGTAAGTGGTGAGCAATGCTTTGACATGCCATGTGCGCGGCAATCTGATGATTGAACTGAATAAAAGCAGAACCCATCGATGGGAACCTTTCGGGATGCTTTTGATCTTCCTCAATTTCCAAGTTCAGTCGAGCAAGCTCCTGACGGCACCAATAAATCGTGTCCACCTTTTTGGTGGCAAGTGGCATTCCAA